AGTCTATTCATATTTAGCCTAGAAGTCTCCTTGGTGGCTGGAGTACAGGGGGACCCAATGTCCCGATTTTATAGGGACAGTCCTGATATTTGGGGCTTTTTTTATATATAGGCACCTACTACCCCGCACCCCCTGTCCCGATTGTTCCCACTTGCTGTCTGGTCACCCTCCAGGAGTGAAATGAGGACATTATAAGAGCGAAGAAAGCGAAAGCTGAGCTCTTGAGAAGAGAGGACTTTTCATCAGACCCTTGAAAACACACTCTGTTTTCGCTAACGTCAGTTTCATGTATATGACCAATTAGCACTTTGGAGAAAGGAAGCCGTGGTTAAAGATGTGATCCCTCTACTCCTCGAATTAAAGTCCAGCCGTTGAGATGTCCAACAGATCCTCCAGAACAAAACTGTTCCAGGCTTTCTTTTTCTTTTTCCATAATCAAGGCAAAAATTCCAATTAAAAACTATTTCCGTAAGTCATCTACAAGTCCCACCCACTCCCCTTTTTACTGAAATAAATAAAATAAAATAAATAAATCCTGAAACTATGATAAGTCTCTTTATACAGAACGGAATGTCCCTTTAGTTCTGCATGCCCCAGCTACCGATGGTTTACGCCGAGTGATGTCATCCAGTTTGAAATGGGATTCTAGAGGAAACGTGTCTTTAACATTCGCTCCATCTCTTCTGAGGCAGTTTATATGGTTCATAAGCATCAGGGCTGGGATTTCTGTTCACACCTGCCCAGCACTGATTATAACTGGCTGTGCCTTTTCCCCGACAGGCTGTTCTGGACTGACCGCAGCCGCTACTCACATCACTGCTCCTAGTGCATGCTGGGAAGGCAGCTGCTTCAGGAGAGGGATTTTGCCGACTTGTCAGAGGAAAGTAAAACCGGGTAAGAAACTAAAAATGTATTTCAAATTCCTGCTCCGTGTGGTTAGCAGAACGTCCGTCCGGGCTGGCTAAGGTGGCTGGCTGTATTTTTGAAATACGTGGGCCAGGTTCTGGCCCCGACTCTGGCTGTCTTTGGCCACTCCAGCCATGCAAAGCAGAGGGAAAACCAGCAGAAGCAGGTACCTGGGGATTCACCTTGACTACTGGCAAGTCACTGACTCTCTGTCTTGCGTCTCCGTGGGCAGGTCTTCACTACCCACCGGATCGGCGGGTAGGGATCAATCTATCGGGGATCGATTTATCGCGTCTCGTCTAGACGCGGATAAATCGATCCCCGAACGCGCTCCCTGTCGACTCCGGAACTCCAGCTCGCGAGAGGCGGAAGCGGAGTCGACGGGGAGCGTGTTCGGGGATCGATTTATCCGCGTCTAGACGAGACGCGATAAATCGATCCCCGAACA